GGGGGGGTGACCATAGGTGGAACAGCATGACCGTTGAGGGGGTTGGGACCAAGTGAAATAAAAAACAATAACAATAACAATGATAATAAAAATAGAATATAAGTATTTACCTGATCAACGAATCTGTTCATACATTACAATCCATCCATGTAGTTTCTGAGAAATGTGACGGTTTAGTTTTATCTCAGATCTGATCAAAGTGAGAATCATGGTTTCTCACGAACCCTGTGGTCTCACCGTCTGGGGGTCTGTGACAAGAGTCTGCCGTCAAAGCATTTCATCATATCAGCAATTTCTCTGAACCCTAGCCCTGCAACCAGGTGCCAGAAAGGCTAGCTAGCGGAACGTTTGAGCCACACTACTTCAGGCCGTCATTGTAAATAAGAATCTGTTTTTAATTGACCTACCTGGTAAAATAAAGGTAAAATAAAAAATGTAATAAACGCTGGAGATAATTAAACCGCCCTTGTAAGACACAGAAGCTGCTTTTTTATGGATGTGTTGTGTGACTTGATAGATACGACCGTCTTTTAAATTTCATCTGTGAAGCTGGAAGCTGATCGATAAGCTGATTTGATAGCTGCATTTGCTTAAGTAATGAAGAGAACTCGTATCGACAAGCAGCAGCATTTGTATTAAAGCATCCTGGGAAACAGGAAGTTCAAAGGAAGCTACATACGGAGGTTATAGGTTTGACCACTGAATGATATAGAACATTGTCTAAGACCCTGACCGCGTACCAAACGGCACCCTATTCCCTATGTAGTGCACTACTTTTGACCAGGGCCCATAGGGAATAGGGTGCAGTTTGGGACGTACACCTTTTTAGCGTGAGATACGTCTGAAGAAAACCAATTGTCTTTGCAGATGCAGACAGAGCCAGAAGGAAACGTTGACTGTGTCTGTGGGTTAATTTACCGGCAGCCTGTGGGCTACAGGGGGGGATGTCAGAGAGCTGCACAATCCAGGCAGGCAGTTATGCTGACTCAGTGTTTCAGGGTAGTTAGTGAGTTAGTGAACCACTGTGTGAGAGGAAACTAGTGAGATAGGGGTTGGGACGGGGGGATGGTGGTCTTCAGTTTCACAATCACTGATAGGTTTGTTTTTTTCAACTGAATGCCTCACCTCAATATGCCCAGTGTTATTGGAATTGGTCATGATCACGCAGTGTGTACGTGCGTGTAGTCATTCTATTTATTTGATTTATATAGATTTATACCATGGCATTGCTGAATACTCGTTTCTGATTGGCTTGAAGGGCATTCTATAACGTGCACTATTTCCTTATAATGCATGGTAATATTCAATGGCTATGAAGTTTATTCTTTCATGTTCTACGTTTCAGCTGCTTTTGAAAGCAAAAGTCGAATTGAAAATGTTATTGGCGTTGTCGAATTCGATTTTCATAATAGCAAGCCAGCAGCGTTGATAGTTTGGTTAGCTAAGCGAGCAAGTCTGTTTGTTTGGTTACCAAGGCAACCACCGTAGCTATCTAGTAAAACTTGCTAGCTACTCTACATCAGTGGATGTTGAACACATTTCTACTGGGGTAATCAACTCCGGGCTCTATGCATTCTCTGGAAAATAATGCAACTCCGTGGAAGGCTGGTGCCACTTGCTACAGTATCGTGGTATACCTTCCATGCATTATTTCCCCTAGGTGACTGACAGGGCGCACTGTTTTCAAGCCACCGCAAAGCCGTTTTGGTACACTATTGTACAAAAAAAATCATATTTTGGAGGCTATAGCAATGGATGTATCGCAGGTGTTTACCCAAAGGATTCATTTTTATATTTACATTGTGATTTCTGAAAATGTCCATAATACAGTGGGGGGAAAAAAGTATTTAGTCAGCCACCAATTGTGCAAGTTCTCCCACTTAAAAAGATGAGAGAGGCCTGTAATTTTCGTCATAGGTACACGTCAACTATGACAGACAAATTGAGATTTTTTTTCTCCAGAAAATCACATTGTAGGATTTTGAATGAATTTATTTGCAAATTATGGTGGAAAATAAGTATTTGGTCACCTACAAACAAGCAAGATTTCTGGCTCTCACAGACCTGTAACTTCTTCTTTAAGAGGCTCCTCTGTCCTCCACTCGTTACCTGTATTAATGGCACCTGTTTGAACTTGTTATCAGTATAAAAGACACCTGTCCACAACCTCAAACAGTCACACTCCAAACTCCACTATGGCCAAGACCAAAGAGCTGTCAAAGGACACCAGAAACAAAATTGTAGACCTGCACCAGGCTGGGAAGACTGAATCTGCAATAGGTAAGCAGCTTGGTTTGAAGAAATCAACTGTGGGAGCAATTATTAGGAAATGGACCACTGATAATCTGCCTCGATCAGGGGCTCCACGCAAGATCTCACCCCGTGGGGTCAAAATGATCACAAGAACGGTGAGCAAAAATCCCAGAACCACACGGGGGGACCTAGTGAATGACCTGCAGAGAACTGGGACCAAAGTAACAAAGCCTACCATCAGTAACACACTACGCCGCCAGTGACTCAAATCCTGCAGTGCCAGACGTGTCCCCCTGCTTAAGCCAGTACATGTCCAGGCCCGTCTGAAGTTTGCTAGAGTGCATTTGGATGATCCAGAAGAGGATTGGGAGAATGTCATATGGTCAGATGAAACCAAAATATAACTTTTTGGTAAAAACTCAACTTGTCGTGTTTGGAGGACAAAGAATGCTGAGTTGCATCCAAAGAACACCATACCTACTGTGAAGCATTGGGGTGGAAACATCATGCTTTGGGGCTGTTTTTCTGCAAAGGGACCAGGACGACTGATCCGTGTAAAGGAAAGAATGAATGGGGCCATGTAGCGTGAGATTTTGAGTGAAAACCTCCTTCCATCAGCAAGGGCATTGAAGATGAAACGTGGCTGGGTCTTTCAGCATGACAATGATCCCAAACACACCGCCCGGGCAACGAAGGAGTGGCTTCGTAAGAAGCATTTCAAGGTCCTGGAGTGGCCTAGCCAGTCTCCAGATCTCAACCCCATAGAAAATATTTGGAGGGAGTTGAAAGTCCGTGTTGCCCAGCGACAGCCCCAAAACATCACTGCTCTAGAGGAGATCTGCATGGAGGAATGGGCCAAAATACCAGCAACAGTGTGTGAAAACCTTGTGAAGACTTACAGAAAACGTTTGACCTGTGTCATTGCCAACAAAGGGTATATAACAAAGTATTGAGAAACTTTTGTTATTGACCAAATACTTATTTTCCACCATAATTTGCAAATAAATTCATTAAAAATGTGATTATCTGGAGAAAAAAAATCTCATTTTGTCTGTCATAGTTGACGTGTACCTATGATGAAAATTACAGGCCTCTCTCATCTTTTTAAGTGGGAGAACTTGCACAATTGGTGGCTGACTAAATACTTTTTTCCCCCACTGTATATCTGCAGTGATAGTGGAATGATAGTGTTTCACAGTATTACTTACCCACCAGTGTTGTGATTAGCTGTGATATTCGCCTATTGATTTCTCCTGCCAGAGTGGCACCTGTTGTCAAAATGGGAAAGCTGTTTTGACTTTGTGGCTGGGTTATCTACTGGAAATTGGGTCAAGCGGGCCAATGTAGAAATCGCTTCCAGATTGCAAAAATTCTACACTGTTCGCTCAATTTCAGTTTGTGAGAAAACCAGCACTGAATAGAGTAAGGAATCATTGTACCATCAACAGCTGATTGAGAGAATGCCAAGAGTGTGCAAAGCTGTCATCAAGGCAAAGGGTGGCTATTTGAAGAATCTCAAATATAACATATATTTTGATTTGTTTAAAACTTTTTGGGTTACTACATGATTCCATATGTGTTATTTCATAGTTTTGATATTTTCACTATTATTTTATATGTAAAAAGAATAGTAAAAATAAAGAAAAACCCTTGAATGAGGGGTGTCCAAACTTTGGACTGGTAGTGTAAATCGCTGTGGAAATCTTTTCAATAACAAAAAATATTGTTTTTACAGATGTTTGATGCTGGTGGACCAACATCGACAATAAAAGGCTCAAGCATGACTCTCCGCCATGTTACGGGGAACCGGGGGAGGGCGGAAATATGTTTAGAATTCAGCCTAGTGCTGTTGCAATTCACCTGGCTTCCACATAGGTTCCACTTAGGTTCCACATGGGGGAGGAATTCTGAGAAGTTCTAGGTGTAGCACCTTTAATGTCGACATTTATTGTATATTCTATTACAGACACCTTATGCATACTTTAAAATTATATTATGTGACCTGAACATTTAAATAAAAGTATTTTTTCTAGGTGCTAATTTTACTGTCCCCACTACAAGCAATACTTAAACACTAAAATAATATAATAATTAATTAATAATTAATAATAATAAAGTAATTCTGTCCTTGAAACATTAAATTGAAATACTGTAGAATTCCTTTCATTCCTATGGAGGACGGCTCCTTATGGGGAGTGCCAATATGGCCGCCGGTGTCTTCAAAGCCTGGCCTGTCATTGGCCATTACATAGTATCAGTAATCCAGGGTTTATACACATGATTGGATTGGACCTCATGTTAAACGATTATGCTGATATGTAGCAGGATCTGACAGTTTGTTCTATGACTATGACAGTTTTTTAGATGACTGCATTGGGGCCCTGAGGTTGTGTATGTTTCTGCAGCCTACTAAGGTTGAGTGGTTAAGGTTGAGATAGTGACAGTGACAGGAGGAGTGTGGTTTTTTCAGATAAAAAGACGTTACTTTCATGTTTAAAAAGACAACGCTTCCATGTCAACTCACACGTGTCAGAGTTGAACTATCACAGGTCATTTATTTTCAACTAGTACAGGACTTGACATCTCAGGTCGACTACACAACTACAAGGATAGTAAAACAGCTGACATTTCTGTTTTTTTTTAAACATTTTAATATTAGTGAGCGATTTCTTTATCCATATATCACACTAAGCTTGGCAAGAGTTCAAACATACTTCACAGCTTCAAATAAGTATTATATAAATTTCACAATTATCGAGAAAAAGCCTGAGAATGCAGGTATCAATCAGTCAATCAGTGACTTCCGCATGGTTTTGTTGATCCAGTCAAGGTATTTTGTTGACATGAGTGTGTACACTCCAGGTTTGTTCTTGATGCCACATTGTTTACCACCGAACGACACGACTCCCCTTAGCTCACTTCCACACACCAACGGGCCTCCAGAGTCTCCCTAAAAACGCACAACACATAAATTCATACATGATTACTTTCAGTCATTTACAAACAATATATATAAGGTTTAACGCATGCATCAATGGTTGATCATTGGCTCCCTGCAAAATATATAAAAAAACTTTATCAGCGAGTACACTGACACAAAACCACAGGAGGCTGGTGAGAGGAACTATAGGAGGACGGGCTCGTTGTAATGGCTGGAATGGAATCGATGGAACGGAGTCAAACATGGTTTCCATATGTTTTATGTGTTTGAAACCGTTCCAATAATTCCATTCCAGATATTACAATGAGCCCGTCCTCCTATAGCTCCTCTCACCAGCCTCCTCTGACACACACACACACACCTGACACGAGTCCACCCTGGTCTTGTCCACAGAGCCGGCACACAGCATGCTGTAGGTGATGATCGGGGTCATGTTGTAGTAGTCTTCAGAGTTACACGTCCTCCTGTCGATCACGGTGACGTTGGTAGATCGCAGGACATCAGACATGGTTTTAGCGTTGTTCTGGGTGGCTCCCCATCCAGACACTGAGCATTGGGTCCCTGCTGGGACATCTGCCACAGGTACAGGTAACGCTAGAGCTTTCACCTCCTTAGTCGGCTTTACTTTCTTATCCAACTAGGAGGAGGAGGAGGAAGAAGAAGGTTTTGTGTCAATTCTCCTTCAACTGTCCCTTGAATTGAAGAATGACTGATACCAGTAGTGACTGACCTTCAGCAGCATGATGTCGTTGACTCTGATGTTGCGGTCATAACAGGGATGAGGGATGCGACCTTTAACCTTACGGACCTGCCTAGTCTCCTTCCTGTTTGATGGAGTGGACCCCTAGAAACACCTTGGTGATGCTTCAGACAGAAACAGAAACCTTCTGTTAGATCAGCTGAAGGAAGCAACCCAACAACTACAATGACGCAATCTCAGAAGCACAACGCAAAAAAAAAATCAAACATTTGTGACCGAGTTGCTACGCGAACCATTACAGCAACAGCATCTGTACAAGAACAACAGCAACATTTGATATTGGACCTACTCAGAACAGTGAGCTGCAGTCAGGACCCATTGCTGGTGGATCAGGATTCCTCCACACACTTTATGTCCTTGTTTGTTCTCCAATAGAGCCATGTAAGGTAAGGAGTGAGGCTTCACCTCCTTTCCATCAATGATCTCTGCACAATCACCTAGGTAAGGGACAAAACACCAACAATAACTCATTAGAGAAATAATCATATATATTTGTCAGATAACACACACACACACACACACATCTGTACACACACACACACACACACACACAAACCCACACCTACCTGAGTGCAGATACAGAAGGATAATGGTAGAGGTCCAGAAACTGGCTGCTGCGGGGAGGATCATGGTCATTTAACTCTGATGTAATGTGTTACCTCAGTAGTTCAGAGTCTGCTGTGCTGTGATGTTCTCTTTCTCTCTGATCTCTCTCTTTATGCTTATTATAGAGGATGTGGTCGGTGCGTCTGATGTCACCACAAAGTGGAAACACACAAGCATGCACACGCACACACACACACACACACACACACATGGATATAAATGCACTGTTGGTTAAGGGCTGTAAGTAAGCATTTCACTGTAATGTCTGCACCTGTTGTATTCGGCGCATGTGACCAATAAAATTTGATTTGATTTGATTTGATGATCACACCCTCTTCCATTTTACTTAAATGTCACCATTCACCACCTTAAATTACAATTTCTTTAAAACAAGATGACTGAATGTGTAAAACTAGATGACAATGACAAAACAAATTATACGCTAGTTACGAGAAACAAGAGTTTATTATTTACTCCTGTAGTATTAGCGCTTTACAAATGACCCTCAGTCCACAAAAAGTAGCTTACTGTCAAGCTAAGTTTCTAATATAGATACATCCTCACACTGTCAGCCCACTCAGTCTGTTGAAGAAGATCACCATTTCACCAATAGCAGAGACAGAATGGCAACAACGAAGTCATTCCATTCATGTGAAAACCTGATGACTCAGTTTTACGCTAAAGTTACATCATTAACAGAGGTTTCACCTTTAACTCCTTGTGTTCCTGTGCTTGAGTCCCAAATGGCACCCTATTCCCTACATAGTGCACTACTTTTGACCAGATCCCTATGGACCCAGATCAAAAGTAGTGCACTATGTAGGGAATAGGGTGCCATTTGGGGATGCAGGCTATGTTTAGTACTTTATTAGATAAAAAATAATGTAAATGTATTGTCCTTAGACATATAGGTAGGAGCAATGTTTCCATGCCAAGCTTGAATATCATGCCTACTGACAATGTGTGGTCTATAATATTTACGTTCTTCATAAATAAAAAGTACATTTTCTTACTTTTTTAAAAGTAAAAGATAAGGTCAGCATACCTATTTTTTCAATGGAGACGTCAAAAGGAGCAGCTTAAATATTTAATCATTCTTAATCCCATCAATACTTTCTAAAAACCTGTATTTATATTTTTACAGGTTTGTCTTGTTGAGATAAATCTATTTTGCACTTATAAGTGTGTATTAAGACTTATCAATACTAATAACACACTGTCAGCAGCTTGAATTCATGTGCCACATGAAACTTTTTACTATCAAGAAAAGCTGATAGAGCTGCTGATTTAAAAAAAATCTAGGACCAAGTTCTAGTCAGCTGGCAGCTCAACAATGTGTTATTCTGTAGGGAACTCAAACTAAACCAGATCTATTCAGGCTGCCATAGCAACACTGCATTCTTCTGTAGGGAACTCAAACTAAACCAGATCTATTCAGGCTGCCATAGCAACGCTGCATTATTCAGTAGGGAACTCAAACTCAACCAGATCTATTCAGGCTGCCATAGCAACACTGCATTCTTCTGTAGGGAACTCAAACTAAACCAGATCTAGTCAGGCTGCCATAGCAACACTGCATTCTTCTGTAGGGAACTCAAACTAAACCAGATCTAGTCAGGCTGCCATAGCAACACTGCATTCTTCTGTAGGGAACTCAAACTAAACCAGATCTAGTCAGGCTGCCATAGCAACACTGCATTCTTCAGTAGGGAGCTACACTGATCTAGGACCAGTTCTTATCAGGTCTACAATATACTATTCAGTATGGAGTTCTACTGATTTCAGATCAGGTTCAGGAGCCTGAGCAGCATTTAGAGACAGGGACATGAAGTGTGAGCATGGCCTGAGGCCTCACTTATCAAATGTTTGTTTATTAACTTTTGATTGATTGATTGATTGATTGGCCAATTGGCCCGCTGGCCAATTAGACCGATTGATTGCTTTGATGGATTGATTGATCCGTGGTCAGACTCAGGTAAAATAGCCAGAGTAAGACAGCCAGACAGATGAACTTGACAGCACTCAGCACCATGGTAACCACCTGCGGCCCACCACTGCCCCCTAGTGGAGAGGAGAGACATGTAACACAAAACACAGAGTACATATTACACACAAACAAGGAGAGAGGTGAGGAGGAGGGAGGTGGGGAGGAGGGACATGGAGCGGAGGGTAACGGAGGTGAGGAGGAGGGAGGTGGGGTGTGTGTAGGGGGGAGGAGGGGGGAATGAGGTCTAGGAGGGTGAGGGGGTGGAGGAGGTCTAAGAAGGTGATGAGGGTGAGGAGGTATAGAAGGGTGAGGATTTCTAGGAGGGTGGGGAGAAGGTCTAGGACGGTGAAGAGGTCTAGGAGGGTGAGGAGGTCGAGGAGTGTGAGGAGGTCGAGGAGGGTGAGGTTGTCTACAAGGAGAGAGGTGGGGAGGAGGGAGGTGAGGAGGAGGGTGGAAGGAGGTCTAGGAGGGTGAGTTGGTCTAAGAAGAAGATGAGGGCGAGGAGGTATAGGAGGGTGAGGATTTATAGGAGGGTGAGGAGAAGGTCTAGGATGGTGAAGAGGTCTAGGAGGGTGAAGAGGTCTAGGAGGGTGAGGAGGGTGAAGTCTAACATGGTGATGGGTCTAGAAGGGTGATGAGGTCGAGGAGGGTGAGGAGGTCGAAGAGGTCTATGAGGGCAAGGAGGTCTAGGAGGGTGAGGAGGTCTAGGAGGGTGAGGAGGTCTAGGAGGTAAGGAGGTTTAGGAGCGTGAGGAGGTCGAGGAGGGTGAGGAGGTCGAGGAGGTCTAGGACGGTGAGGTTGTCTACGAGGGTGAGGTCTACGAGGGTGAGGAGACTTAGGAAGTTTAGGAGGTCGAGGAGGGTGGTCGGGGTTGAAGAGGGTGATGAGGGCAAGGAGGTACAGGAGGGTGAGGAGGTCCAGGAGGGTGAGGAGAAGGAGGTCTAGGACTGTGAAGAGGTCTAGGAGGACAAGGAGCGTGAGGTCTAAGAGGGTGAGGGGGTCTAGGAGGGTGACGGGGGTCGATGAGGGCGAGGATGTATAGGAAGGTGAGGAGGTTTAGGAGGGTGAGGAGGTCTAGGAAATTAGGGAGGTCTAGGATGGTAAGGAGGTTGAGGAGGTATAGGAGGGTGAGGAGGTCTAGGAAGGTGAGGAGGTTGAGGAGGGTGAGGAGGTCTAGGAAATTAGGGAGGTCTAGGATGGTAAGGAGGTTGAGGAGGTATAGGAGGGTGAGGAGGTCTAGGAAGGTGAGGAGGTTGAGGAGGTCTAGGATGGTGAAGAAGTCAAGGAGGGTGAGGATGTCTAGGAGGGTGAAGTCTAAGAGGGTGAGGGGTTCTATGAGGCTGAGGGGGTCGAACAGGTCTAAGAGTGTGAGGGGGTCGAGGAGGTCTAGCAATGTAGGGGGTCTAGGAGGGTGAGGGGGTCTAGAAGGGTTAGGAGGTCTAGGACAGAGTTACATATGGAATAAACAAAACGTACAGTCAATAACACAATAGAAAATCTATATACAGTATGTGCAAATGTAGTACGTTATGGAGGTAAGGCAATAAATAGGCCATAGTGCAAAATAAATTAAAATTTAGTATTAACACTGGAGTGATAGATGTGCAAGAGATGATGTGCAAATAGAGATACTGGGGTGCAAATTAGCAAAATAAATAACAATGTAAATAACAATATGGGGATGAGGTAGTTGGGTGGGCTAATTTCAGATGGGCTGTGTACAGGTGCAGTGATCGGTAAGCTGCTCTGACAACTGATGCTTGAAGTTAGTGAGGGAGATAAGAGTCTCCAGCTTCAGAGATTTTTGCAGTTCGTTCCAGTCATTGGCAGCAGAGAACTGGACGGAATGGCGGCCAAAGGAGTTGTTGGCTTTGGGGATGACCAGTGAGATATACCTGCTGGAACGCATACTACGGGTGGGTACCAATGAGCGAAGATAAGGCGGGGATTTGCCTAGAAGTGATTTATAGATGACCTGGAGCCAGTGAGTTTGGCGACGAATATGTAGTGAGGGCCAGCCAACGAGAACGTACAGGTCACAATGGTGGGTAGTATATGGGGCTTTGGTGACAAAACGGATTGCACTGTGATAGACTACATCCAATTTGCTGAGTAGAGTGTTGGAAGCTATTTTGTAAATGACATCGCCGAAGTCAAGGATTGGTAGGATAGTCAGTTTTACGAGGGCATGTTTAGCAGCATGAGTGAAGGAGGCTTTGTTGCGAAATAGGAAGCCGATTCTAGATGTAACTTTGGATTGGAGATGCTTAATGTGAGTCTGGAAGGAGAGTTTACGGTCTAACCAGACACCTAGGTATTTGTAGTTGTCCACATATTCTAAGTCAGACCCGCCGAGAGTAGTGATTCTAGTCGGGCGGGCAGGTGCCAGCAGCGTTCGATTGAAGAGCATGCATTTAGTTTTACTAAATGATTGTGGAGGGTGAGGAGGTCTAAGAGGGTAAGGAGGGTGAGGATGTCTAGGAGGGTGAGGAGGTACAGGGCGGTGAGGAGGTCAAGGAGGGTGGGGTAAATGAAGAGATCTAGGAGGACTATGGGGGTAAGGAGGACTAGGAGGGTGAGGAGGTCTAGGAGTAGGTCTAGGAGGGTAAGGAGGTCTAGGAGGGTGAGGAGGTCTAGGAGGGTAATGTCTGGTAGGGTGAAGAGGTATAGGAAGGTGAGGAGGGTGAGCAGGTCTAAGAGTTTGATGAGGTCTACGTGAGTGAAGAGGGTGAGGAGGTATTGGAGGGTGAGGAGGTGTAGAAGGTCTAGGAGGGTGAGGAGATCTAGGAGGGTGAGGAGGTCTAGGAGGGTTGAGGAGGTGTAGAAGGTCTAGGAGGGTGAGGAGATCTAGGAGGGTGAGGAGGTCTAGGAGGGTGAGGAGGTCTAGGAGGGTGAGGAGGTCTAGAAGAAGGTTGAGGAGGGTGAGGGGGTCTAGGGGGATGAGGAGGTCTAGGAGGGCAAAGAGGTCAAGGAGGGTGACGCAGTCGAGGAGGGTGATGAGGTCTAATAAGTGTAAAAGTTCTAGGAGGGTGTCGAGGTTTAGGAGGGTGAGGAGTTCTATGAGCTCTAGGAGGGTGAGGAGGTCTAAGAGGACTAGGATGGTGAGGAGGTCTAAGAGGACTAGGATGGTGAGGAGGTCTAGGAGGGTGAGGAGGTCTAGGAGGTCTAGGATGGTGAGGAGGTCTAGGATGGTGAGGAGGTCTAGGAGGGTGAGGCTGGAAGCTACATGCAGCGATTCTGTAGCTGTGATAGACTGGCTGCATCACATGGGGCACGTCCCAATGCACAGTCACATGACCAGTCCCCACAGACTCCGCCTCTAAATGCTCAGGAGGTACAGCGCATGTCAATCAAATAGATAGACAGTGCCTTCGGAAAGTATTCAGACCCCTTGACATTTTCGAGGATGGTGAAGAGGTCGAGAGGGTGAGGAGGACTACATTTACATTTAAGTCATTTAGCAGACGCTCTTATCCAGAGCGACTTACAGGAGCAATTAGGGTTAAGTGCCTTGCTCAAGGGCACATTTACGTCATTTAGCAGACGCTCTAGTCCAGAGCGACTCACAAATTGATGCATTCACCCTATAGCCAGTGGGATAAACCACTTTACAACTTTTTTTTTTTTTGGGGGGGGGGGGGGGTAGAAGGATTACTTTATCCTATCCCAGGTATTCCTTAAAGAGGTGGGGTTTCAAATGTCTCCGGAAGGTGGGTGAGCGACTCCGCTGTG